TTGATCCTGAAACTAACACTGAAAAACAGTCTTGTAAGACACAATTCAACGCCCTGGAGGCTGTAAAATTGATTGTGGCTATCATGGCAAGAAGTTTCACAGAACCCTCAATTCCTTCATGGAGCACTGTGGCCACTAGTATTCATGATTTTTGAGGGGATTTGAGGATGACACAAGAGTTGGACCAGGAGATTGTGTCCATTGGTCAGTCATTGGGTCTTGAAGGAGGAGAAGGATGTGGAAGAGCTTTGTGATGTCTCATGAGGAGGAACTTACTCCCACGACTTGAAGGAACTGGATGAGATACACGGTAGAGGCTGACAGTGGTGAGGAGGAATTATGATGACCATATGTCAGCTAAACAGCTGAAAGATGTGATTTACCACTGGGAGAGTTCATAGGAACTGGCTTCAAAGCACCCAGAAGTGGAAAAACTGAACTAACTCTCAGGTCATAAGCTGAGGACTCAGTGGTCTCCTTCTTAAACATAAGTTAATGGTGAGGAGGACAGACATTCCCACAGACCATTAATTGATACTTTTTCAGTAAAGGCAGAGGGAACAAGATGCTAGCCTCTAGCCTTCCACTTCAAGAAGGAGAGAGGATGTTCATGGGAGAATCTGTCCAGAGGTTCCTGATATTTTCATGGAAGGTGACTCATCTTCCAAGCCAGCTGCAAAATGCTTCTCCACCTCCACTTCCTTCAAACCTCTTCCCTCCTGCACCTCCCCACTTCAAATGCACATCATCACCATCATCCAGAGCTTTCTACACAATAATACCTCAAAGCAAGTAACTTTTTCCGCCTATTTTTGTTGAATAGAAAATTTTCGTTGAGCTGGAACCACTGCAAAAACCCATTGAAATAATGGTTTCGGTTAACGAACGTTTGGGTTTATGAATCGACCTTCTGGAACGGATTGAGTTCGTTAACGAGGGCCACTGTATATATATATATATATATGGGGAAGGGTGTCCGTTTTAGCAGATTGTCCGATTAATGGATTTGGGGTTATATTGCATAATATTGCAGTATACAGCTATGAGTATGTTTATTTGAGTGCCCGTCATAGGAGTCCGTTTTCTCTCTCTTCCAGGGCCTGAGGTAAATCCGTTTTCTTCTTAGAGTGCAGTACACCAGTTACTTTTTATTTCTTAGTAATGACAAGAATTTGAAATTGCAACTGGGGTTTGCAATTGTTGAAGCAACTTAGGTATGTCTGATTACAGTTGGAATATTCAAGATCCATTGTAGTGATGTTTAAAGCTTCATGTCTTTATGGTTGGTAAAACTTGTCAAGTCTGTCAGTCTGAATGGCTTGTGTGAGGCCTTGTATTTGTATAACCACAAAATATATAAATATATTTTGTTATACAAGTATACAATTGTAACAATGAGTCGGTCCAAAGCGAGTGAAAAGCTAATAACCCTTGAAACTAAGAAAAGAAATTGTAAAAAGCGTGAGAATGGAAGAAAGCATTAACGAAACTTAGTGATGAATATATATATATATATATATATATATTATATATATATATATATTATATATATATATATTATATATATATATTATATATATATATTATATATATATTATATATATATATATATATATATTATATATTATATATATATATATATATATATACAGTGGGGTATGCTATAACGAACGTAATTGGTTCCAGAACCTCGTTCGTTATAGCATTCGTTCGTTATAGGATTAATCCGTTCCAGGCCCCCAAATACAACCACTTAACACTGAAAAAATTCTGTGGAAAATGTAAAAAATACGGTACTTTATCTTACCTTAGTGTTATTCAGCATGCAGGTACCCCTAAACACTGGCACATCACTATCACTTCCACTGGGAGTCTTGGCTTTAAGGTCCTCAAACAATTGTTTAGCCTTCTCACAAATTATAGCTTCACTAATGTTACCACCTGCCATTTCTTTCTCCTTTATCCACACTAAGAGTAAATTTTCCATCTCTTCAATCACATTACACTTTGCTTTGCTAAGTCTAAAGATTCCCTTAGCCACTTGCACAGTTTTTAACTCCTCTTTATTCTTCAAAATCGTACATATAGTCGATTTAGCCATCCCATATTCATCACTAAGTTTCGCAATGCTTCTTCCATTCTCACGTTTCTTTATAATTTCTTTCTTAGTTTCAAGGGTTATTAGCTTTCTCACTCGCTTTGGACGACTCATTGTTACAATTGTATACTTGTATAACAAAATAGTTATACAAATAACGCGAATTTCCACATCAAAAGACGAAATTTCAACAATAACAGTGGTGCACTGGCTACACAATGAGACAAAGATGGCGCCTGACGCTCTTGTTGTGGGTCGCGGTACAACAATATTCATGCGCCAGACGAAATAGTCCCGTATTCATCCGCGTTCGTTGTAGGAGTTGCGTTCGTTATAGCATTCTCAGTTTTATAGGTAAAACCGTTCGTTATAGGAATATTCGTAGTAGGATCCGTTCGTTATAGCATACCCCACTGTGTATATATATTTTTATATATATAAATATATATATATATATATATATATATATATATATATATATATATATATATATATATATATATATATATATATATATATATATATATATATATATATATATATATATATATATATATATAGTTGATTATTTTTCCCATGGATTGGAAAACACCTTAGAAGTGTACAAATCATCAGTCTCACAGAAAGACTTCTGTGACTAAGTTGTTGTTTTTATAATCATTACTCATTGTACTAAGATGTCCATACGTACTATGATAAGCACTGCGAAAACGTGAAATGTTAAGTGAATACTAGTTTTCATTGCACGCCGTTAAATGGCATTACTACAGTTAACCCTCACTTTACGCGGTTAATGTAACCCGGAGGGTCCCGCGTAAAGTGAGAAACGCGTAAAGTGAATAACATAACATATGGGATTAATTGAAATGGAGTCCGGGCCGATCCCCAAACTCCACTTTTTGACGACACACAACTATGTTGTAGTAAAAATATTATCTTAACTTTATGATGGTATGCACACACAATTAATAATTAAGAGAAATATCAATAATATTAGGTTTTTTAACACTTACATTAGTAGAAAAAATGGCTGGGCACACGGGGATGGGCGGTTGGTTCCGAGGCAGAGGGCAGATTATTGGCCCTCACCTGTGTCACTTGTATCAATTGTATCACTATCCACCACAGAGGCTTGCAGGGCCTCTTTGTCAAACTCCCCAAAGTCCATATAAGTCCATATCCTCACCATAATTATCACTATCACTGACTTGGGCCGGCTGTGGTGGGTGGCGGGTGAAGAACTGGTAATGTTTTGATGACTGGGCGACCTTGTGCGCACCATGTTCGCGCAGCTTACACAACATGGCGGATGGCGGGAGGTTTGGATCCCAAAATGGCGCGGCTCGCCAGCCGCTCTCCGTGAAAAGGGGTACACGCACCGCGGAATGTGAGCATCCTGGGTTCCGGCAGGGCACCGCGTAAACGTGGAAACGCGGAATGTGGGACCGCGTAAAGTGAGGGTTAACTGTACGTGCTAGTGAGACTACTAATGAATAGTGATGGCTAGCTGCGTTATTCACCGTTATCATCAAATTTCAAGTTTGTTTCAAAAGCTAAAGTATGTTACCTAATAAAAATACAGGAATAAGATAAATGTGGTAGGTACGACATTAATAGATGGTAACGCTTGTAAAATACCAGAAATGGTTACTGATTAACTCTGAAGAGTTGAGTGCCATATGGATGATAATCATCTCAAGTTATCCAACTTTAATATTTACAATAATTCTTTTTTAATTACTTAAAAGTAATAAGAAAATAATAATAATAGTATGTTTAAGTAAACAATAGCATTATTAATCAGGAGTTGGGTTAGGTAAATTTAGCCTACTGGAAACCAGCAACTTCACACATTGAATGCACACTAATGTTTTAAGACTTTTTTTCTTGACAAATTGTATCTTATATGCCATAAATTATGGTATCACAAAGCATGTCCACTCATAAATGCACCACTTCTCTTTGTATTTATTTCTCCCAATTTTTTGTTTTATTACAATGATTTATATTTGTACAGTTATTTATGCTTATACAGTGAACCCTCACTTTACACTGTCAATTGAACCCACGGCGGCCCGCGTAAAGTGAGAAACGCGTAAAGTGAATAACATAACATATGGGATTAATTGAAATAGAGACCGGGCCGACCCCCAAACACCACTTTTTCAGACACAATACCTACGTTGTAGTAAAAATAACTTCTTAATTTTATGATGGTATGCACACACAATTAATAATTAAGAGAAATATCAATAATATTAGGTTTTTTAACACTTACATTAGTAGAAATGATGGCTGGGCACACGGGGATGGGGGGTTGGTTCCGAGGCAGAGGGCAGATTATTGGCCCTCACCTGTATCACTTGTATCAATTGTATCACTATCCACCACAGAGGCTTGCAGGGCCTCTTTGTCAAACCTCTCAAAGTCCATATCCTCACTATCATTATCACTGACTTGGGCCGGCTGTGGTGGGTGGCGGGTGAAGAACTCGGTAATGTTTTGATGACTGGGCGACCTTGTGCGCACCCTGCTCGCGCCGCTCTCCGCGTAAAAGGGTACACACACCGCGGAAAGTGAGCATTCCGGTTTTGGCAGGGTACCGCGTAAACATGGAAACGCGTAAAGTGAAACCGTGTAAAGCAGGGGTTTACTGTACTGCACTGTTTTATAAAGAAAAAATTTAACGGCATCGAAAATATGAAATCTTCAAAATACCGTATAGAATATATTTTATACAACATTTAAAAAAAATAATACACATAAAAATAGTAAATAAAGCACAAAACTTAAATATTTAAAACTGTGACTTATAAATGCAAAGTTGGTGAAGAATTACTGTACTATACAGTACAGTATATGTAAATAAGTATCAAAGATTAAAAACCATAGTGAGCCTTACCTTAACAATCTATGAGCTTCCTCATATTTGAGAGGTTTGCGCTCAAGACGTGTAGCACCAAACCATGCCCAAGAGAGTGGGGCAGGGTTACGATGACCATCTAAAATATCCCATGGACTAAGCTTCTGTTTCTCTGCAGCTTGAAGTCCCTTCAAATACAGTAAAATTATGTAAAAATTTCCCTCTCAGCATAAGTATAACATGCAAGTACACACCCAAAAGTCATATACAGTGGTCCCTCGGTTAACGAACACAATTCATTCCACAGAGTCGTTCGTTAACGGAAAATTTCGTTAACCGAATCTATTATTTCAATGGGATATTGGGTAATTGGTTCCAACTCACAGAAAAAGTATATATACATACAAAGTACTGTATACTGGTAATAGAATTAACAAAACATTAAATATAAACTAAATACAGTACTGTACTGTACAGTATACTGTACAATAATAAATAAAGAAACAATCGAATAATGTATTTTAACTTACCTTGAGGTGTGTATGTCGTATTCTAGGCAGCTTTGTTTACATATCAAACAGCTGATTGTAGAGGCAGTCAATGATGACATACCATATTCTTTACATAGTGCATTGGTTCTAATGCCTTCTTCTTGTTTCATAATAATTTCTGCACTGTATATTATCAATATGTTAACTTGATTTCAGAATGACCACGAATTTTAATACGAATAAAAAATGTAGAAATATTCAAGAGACCAACTTTCTTGGTATTTACTGGTACTCCACTGGAAACGAATGTAAACATAGAACTGATTACTGTATTGGCGGACTGGCCGATCAGCTGATGCACACAATAAAACGTGTTTGTTGTAAGGATTTCGTTAATCGAACTGAAAATCCTTATGGGAGCAAATTCGTTAACCGAAATTTCATTAATCGAACAGTTCGTTAACCGAGGGACCACTGTACTCAATTTCAATATTCAATCATACCTCACTTAGTGCTCTGGATGTTATGTGTTCCTGGGGAAGTGAGCTCTTAACTGAATCTGCATGAAAAGGAGTCAGTATACTGTACCATTATATAAATGGAGAAGCCTTCCCAACAGCACTATTTCTTACATATGAGCTATATATGAGGGCTTCACTGAGGTAGTAATAGTACAGATAATAAAAAAATTCAGTATTTTATAAATAAAAATACAATTGTCTAATTCCAATAAGACCAGTAATTATTGACAAATACTACAACTACCACTTAAAGCAGCTAATTATAATACACAACCCACATTCCCCTGATGCTTACCTGCAGAGATACACATTAACAGTTATATTTTCACATTAAAAGTGATGTTTTCCCTAATACATTTGTCATAGTTCCATAAATAACACGTGCAGGACTTTTACCAGATATTATGGGTCGAAGAAGCTTACATGAGCACATAAAAATAAGGTAAAAAAAGAGGGACCAAAGTAGAGTAAACAATTTGCCAGGCAGTATTCAAAACTGGAGATGTGCACAGATTGGTTCAGTGCACATGTTGCTCACTGGCAATGGTGCACGTCCTCAGCGAGCACTGCATGTTATCACTTGTAACTTATTTAAGTGTTAATGAATTTCCTAAAATTTGTTTTTGTTGTTTTTGTAAATATTTTCTCTAGGACAATGATCTCTATAATGAAACAGCATCCTAAAGGGCAGTACTAAGACTGGTATGAGAGTAACTATTTTATTTAGTTAATTATTGTTCCATGCATAAGAGACTTTTCCTGTTAAGTAGCAGGGTGGCTGGACAGATGCTGATCTCTTGATTCATTACATTCAGCAGCTAGTGAGTTACCCTAACCCCTTGGTAAAATGCTGGTCCTCAGATGGGTTGATCCACCATTGGCAAGCACACCACATGGGTACTCATTCATTGTTGAGAGTGCAAGGACTTGGAGAAAAACCCAGTCCTCCATTTTGATAGCAATCTGCCACCATCAGCTAGTACTGTATGAACACTAGCCAGATACTCTGGATATTACATGGGTGTAACAAATGACTGAGTGATACAAAAACAAGAAAATGAGATTAACATGATGCTTGATTCATAATATACTATGAACAATGTAGAAGGAAGCAGAAACTAATAAATATTTAAAAGAGAAGAAGAGGAAACAGAGAAATACATGTGCTTATAAAATTCATGAATAACAGATATTCCTTGGTTATAGTGATAAAAAAATATTTAAGGTGAAATCAATACAGTTAAAGCTCAAATATCCCAAATTCAAGTCCATAGCATTCAACAATGTGTGCAGTTTCAGATTTAAAGTGTGCAACAAGATGGGTGATGAAGTGTGCAAGTTAAAGTGTGGTGCGATGGAATTTATAATTACCATTATTTTTATATATCCTAATCCATTTATTTCTTTCATTTTTTGGTCAGAGTCAGAGTCTTAGTGGAGAGTGGCTATATGCTTGGTGTGTTGGTGAGTCAAAAGCTCCATCATACTATGTGTACAGTAATGGCAATGGAGCAGCTACACGTACAGTACAAACTGTACTGTACCTATAACTGCATGCCTTGTAATGAAACTATCATTATTACCATTTTCTTATACCCTATTTATGTATCCTTGTAATCACTTGTGACTTGTGCATTTTAAATTTATGATATTCAATTACCACTGAAAAGCACCCTTGTCATTTATTGCTCATTTTCCACTCATGATTACAAGGGGTATCACTTTTGAATAAAAAAGAGTTTAGGAAGTCAGTATGACATGGATGCGGGGCAGATCTAAGAACTGTAATGGGAATGCAACAAGGAAATTTCATCCAGGATATATACAGAATATGTTTATCTATTAAATCTTATTAAACCAGAAACAGATTCTCTCTCTTGAAAGTTTTTCCAAATTGGTGAATTGTATCAAAATAAACTTGTGTTGAGCAAATGTGTATCAACCAAGGATTACCTGTGGTTATATATACAAGTGTGCAAGCTTACACCCACAAATAGGCATGCACAGACATATTAATTCTTCAATACTTACATGCTTTTTGTCTTTGTCAAATTCCTGAAGGCGGTTGCCCTTCGTGTCTGTCACAGATCCCCAGGGCTCAAGGGTAATAACCTCTGCCTGCAACTTCGGTAGTGGAATAAGCTGGCGTACCAAGCGTAGAGACACATTATTACGTTCTCCCACTTCCTAAAAGAGAAATGTAATAGCTTAAATTTTTTACATCACAGTCCTGTACAAAGAACTGCCAGAATTTCACACTGACCAGTAACTTAAATTTTATTTCTCCCAGATACAGTATTTTATAAATGAATGTTGTGTATTTTTAATACTGTCAAGTGTTGAAACACTCCTAAAATATGATAAGAATAGAAATGCATGATTGTGTAACCAGGTAATGGAGCTGCAGTTTTTATTATCCATCACCCACCCTCCCCTCCCTCCTATACCATCATCCCTCCCCTTCCACCTTTACCACTCTTCCTCCTCCACCTCTCTACCTCCATCAATCTTCTTCCAACAGCCTTCCTCCCCTGCCTTTACCACTGAGGAAGTGTGATAATCATATTCCAATGCTATACAATTTAATCCTATGAATTTCTTCATCAGATCATTTCCTTGTCCCCCCACCCTTTTTCTGAGGGGGGTCACACATTTTTAAAAATCTCTTCCCAGATTTCTTTGGTCAACAAATTATAAGCACTAAAAAGGGGCTATCACAATGGGCAAACAATTCTCAATCCTCAGAAGATGGCAATACCATCGTACTCAGTCAGATTTTCCACCGGAAAACAGATCTGATGACTCCAAAATGAATGAGAGTATTGGGTGGATATCTATCTATACTTAGTGAGAAACAATATGACACCACAGATGAAGAATTTTGATAACACTTCCGAGACAACACAAGTCACTGTGATAATTTTGAAATTCATCGGACCCTTCTGGACAGATACTTTTATTTACCGTGTGTACATGCAATTAAAGTCCAAAAAGCCTTTTCATGAAATATGGCCAACAACAACTTGACTTGCATCCAACTTTGTAGTTATTTTGATTTAAGTGATGGCAGAATGAAAACTGGGTGGTAAATGATAATGAAATTTAGATTGAGGTTTTATAAATAGGGCTGAGAAATATAGTAAGAGTTATAAATAAAAGTTTTTCAACTTTACCAGTTTTACAATTTCTTACCTTCTTAATTTTTTTGACGAGATTATAATAATGTCTTCTGTTCTCCTCACGAGACTCGGATGGTCCATCAGACATTAAAGTGGAATGAATCAGTGTTGCCAACATGTCTAAAACCGTGTTGAAGAGTTCACTGTGAAGAAATTAATGGTTTCAGTATTTTTTCCTCTTATTTGTTTTTTGGCCTTCACAACACCACAACACACACCACAGTGCATTATAACATGCTGCCACCCACCCCACTGGGGTATCACACCACTGGAATATCTAGTGTACTATGACCAATCAAAACTTAAGAAACAATCTTTTTAAATTTTCAGTTTCCTAATTTTTTTCCAAATCTGTCACTAGTATGCACACACACTCAAATGATCGCTCACCCACTTTTAAGAATAGCTTGCATTCTCAATGTGTTAATATGTTTTGACAACATTTTCTCCCCAACATTCATTCACAATTATTTTTCCTATTCCCATGTACCTGTAGTGTATTATACAGTAAGTTTCCATTGAACATTAATCCGTTGAACAAATCCACACCATAACAAAAACAAGTTTTTACTACCCATTTACCGATTAATGAAAGAATGTTCTTCTATTAAGAAAGGTAAGTCACCCCCACCTTTCTCACCACCAGCTCCATGATCACCACCACTACCTCTTCTATCACCACCTAAATCATAATTTCACCTTCCTCCCTCCCTCCCACCCACTGCTCTCATCAAAACTGCCTCTCTCACTCATTCTATAACTGTCAATCAGGATAGTACAATATTGTACAATACTGTACATTGTTTATTTGTTATTCTCCCTCCAGAATTTAAAATTTATGTAATGTAATGTAGAAGGAATATGAAGTTGTTCATTTATAGTTACACTCAATTTTGTGGGTAGACATCAGCTGTTCAATTGTGTCTGGCAGTGCTGCAGCCAGTGTTACCAAACAAACCGACTGACGCATCATCTCCTCACCACCACCACTACCTCCTACCTCCCCTTATTACGTTAATTTATGTGGGAAAAATGGTTTCGATGAACATAATCCACCTAACAAAAGCATTTTAGTTGAACCTAACCCTTTCATTCAATGGGAACTTACTGTAGTGTTCATTATTTCTTACTTGCACCTAACTTTCATATACCTTTCTTTTCTTCTTAACCACCACAGCCAAACTCTCATTTCACCATTTCCTCTTCTTTTTTAATCCTAGTCTTTTGCATCCACACACCTTCAATGAATTTTCTAAACATACTGTACTTTCTCCAAATGCTCTCATCCCTCTGCAGTGCCTTACAATTCTACTCCATTTACGTGTAACCACTTTCCCTCCATCATTTCTTTCAGTTATATTTGAAGAACAAACAGAATATTTCATACATGTATTTTTTTTCAGGATTTCAGGAGATCAAAACAAGAGTCTGTTCACAGACAGAGAGAAACAAATGCAGACAGTTACAGAGAGAAGCATTCTTCAGGTGAGGGAGAGGAGAAAATAATTTTTTTGGGAGAGGTTTAAAGATACATTGCAGGGTGACTTGGCAGATCAATTGATCCTATGAATCTTAGCAATCTACACTATCAGCAAGTGTTTCTCATTGTGAACATATATTAATGGTAACACTGCAATTGTACTGACCACAGTCATACATGTTAGTTAATGTAAAATCAAATGATTCATATTATGCTCAACAGCCCATAAAACATGTAGTTATAAATTATTTCTTGAGTCATCTAACTGAGACGTCCGTTTTGTTGTCTGCTTCAGTACTCAAACTGAGACATACGTTTTCTCTATCGCTCAGAATCTCTAGTATCCCTAGTATATACCTGTTGAAAGCTAAAACAATCAAGATCCATTGTGAATGATGTTTAAAGCTTCAAGTGTATTTACTTTAAGGGAAATTGTCAAGTAAGTCGAGTGTTAGATTTTCCAATAGAGTGAGGATCCTGTCATTGCCTAGTGAGACATACAAGATTTCTATTCACCATTGAAGTCAGATTGTTTTGATTCACAGCTATCAGAGAATCTGATGACTGTAATGAAATTATTGTCAGTTTTGTATTTAAGAATGTCATTAATCATTTGAGAGAAACCTGTCAACTGCTCACTGCCTGCAATATAACGACTTGAGAATGAAAGTTCCTTGTTCCTTTTCAAGTCGACGCAGCATGAAATGTGATTGCCAGTCTCAGTAGTTATGTCAATTTAATTATTGCATTGCAAACTTTAACGCTGATAATATTGTAAGCATTAATCTTAAAAAAATTTATCTGATCCATGACACTGATTCTCAAAGCTCAATGTGTCCCGCAACTGAGAAAATTAATATGTACGCAAGTTCTTGTTGTGGACTCGTAGCGCATACGACTGATGTACGGGAGACGAACAGTCACCTCTTGAAGCTCCTCCCTTGCCTAACAGGTATGTACATAGTGTAGTGCCACACCGCCATATTACGTGAAATTAACTCAGATGAACTTTGTTGAAAATATCAGTGTTCCTGTTTTAACATAGTTGAATGTCTTATGAATCAAATGATACTGTAACATAACTGAGCGCCTTCTGTGTTGAATGATCTATTCATTCCCTTGCCTAATGTGTTTTGTGACATTTTTGTATTTTGACTTTTGTTACCTCTTTATGCCCCTCCCTCGCCTAACAGGCACTGTGTGTGTTGTTGCCGCTATCAAGTATTGGTAGCCGCCTGCAGGTAAGATGTCTGAGGCAGGATTTTTTTAATACAACGGGATTAAGATCAGAGTGCATCACGAGCCCAGAGAGCCAGTCAAGGGAGAGTGAGAGCTCTAGAGCACAGATTCCTACCGCAGCTCCGTAGTGTAACCGAGCAGCATTGTTTTCAATATCAGCGGTATAGGCCTAGTGTACTCATCCTAACTGTATGTGCTAATGATTATTGTCTACAATATTATGGATAGGTTATTGGGAATACAATTGCCCCAGGTTGAGTAGTGAGACCAGAAATATTACTATGACCAGCATCAGAGTTTGTTATGTATGTGAGTGAACCAGCTGTACTCACAGCTGATATGTGCTGGTGGATGTTTTCCTGTTTGTTAATCAAGTAATAGCATGGTGCTATAATACCATCACTCTGTGTTATTGACAAGTTTTAGAGTGACCATCACTGTTGTGTAATAATACCCTTAAGGAGGTATAATTATTGAATGTTGTGAATGATAACTGAATATCTATTTTTGCTATTTATAAAATAAGATCTAGTGATTAGTTCTATTTTGTGTGTGTGTTACAGTAATGTAATCAGTAATTGAACCTAAGTTTTACTGCTGTGAGTGAAGGTTCAAATTGTCACAGTATTCAGGTATGATTTTAATAAATGACGATTCAGTATAATGTGTGTATCACCGCTCATTCCTTCTAACAAAAGCCATCCCTGAAAATACACTTGATAACTCACGTGCCTAACCTCTTGTGCATACCATGCTACCAATTTAATTGAGAGGTTCATTGTCTATGTTATATTCTAAAGAAAGCCTGGGTGGTGGCAGCTCTAAGATGCAAGTACAGCATTTACACAAATGTGTAAGAATAGACAAGAATGTGGCTCAGGTTAACCCACAAAGCAGAATATAACTAAGTAAATCTGCGAATAAGAGTAAGTAAGAGGAAATAAACAAATAAGTGAGTACTGAAAGAAAGAAATACTTTGAGAAATGAATTAGAAAATAAAGAAAAGAGATACAGTTGTACCCCGCTTTACGCGGTTTCACTTTACGCGATTTCTCATATACGCGGTGCCTCGCCAGAACCGAACTTTCACTTTACGAGGTTCATCTACCAATATACGCGTGAAGTATAATTTTTATTTATTTTTATTTAGCTCATAAAATTCATACAAATTACCCGGCCAGAATATAATTTACATTGCTGGAATTCTTACAATTTGATGATCATTTTGAATATAAACATCATAGATTTTGCATTAGACATACAAATTTTAGATGTAAAGTTTACTCTGAGTAAATATGTTATCTTTTGTGCAAAATATATGACATTTATATTCAAAATATTCCTGGTCTTACAAGGAATCCAGCAATGTCAATTATATTATCCTAACTTTAGTCTGAGGTATTATTTATTACTAAAAAGGTAAATATTCTGGTTTTCCCACACATTTATCTGGTAGGGAGGGTTGGTGGGGGGTGGGGGGGAGGGAGGGACCAACCGACCATCTGGCACGGTGTGAAGAATATATATTTTTTTTTATTAACTGATGATATTTGTTTTAGCTCATAAAATTCATACAAATTACCCGGTCAGAATATAATTTACATTGCTGGAATTCTTACAATTTGATGATCATTTTGAATATAAACATCATGGATTTTGCATTAGACATACAAATTTTAGATGTAATGTTTACTCTGAGTAAATATGTTATCTTTTGTGCAAAATATATGACATTTATATTTAAAATGTTCCTGGTCTTACAAGGAATCCAGCAATGTCAATTATATTATCCTAACTTAAGTCTGAGGTGTTATTTGTTACTAAAAGTTAAAATTAGTTTTTCACCCAACATTTCTCTGGTAGGGAGGGAAGGTGGGGGGTGGGGGGGAGGGTTGGGACCGACCGACCATCTGGCGCGGTTGGAAGAGGGGGGGAGGCAAGTTGGGGTACTTTGATTGACAGATAGTGTCGTGAAGAATATATTTTTTTTTTATTAACTGATATTTGTTTTAGCTCATAAAATTCATACAAATTACTGGACCAGAATATAATTTGCATTGCTGGAATTCTTACAATATGATGATCATTTTGAATATAAACATCATGGATTTTGCATTAGACATACAAATTTTAGATGTAATGTAATAATTTGGTTTACACAAAGCAAGTACAGGTTGTACCTCTCTAGTCCGGCATTCTGTGGTCCAGAAACTCCCGTGGTCCGGAACGATTTTAGTTTGTCCAATAGGTAGATAGGCAGCTTTTTTTTATTTTTATTTTTTATCTGAATTATTATTATTACAGGAGTATTAAATTTTTGCCCCTCAGGCCCTAATGTGGGTGAGTGACCTATTCCCGGGTGGGCTAATCCCCTTAAAAAAAAAAAGCCGCGGAAAATTAAGGTTTGTTTACATCCGGCAGTTCGGCTGCTCTCTCTCTCTCTCTTTCTCTCTCTCTGCTTGTCTATACAGAGTACAACATTTAACCCTTCAATATATATGAGCAGTAAATAAGTGTTGCTTTCATATTCTTATGTAGAGTAATGACGATATATTTTCACATGTGCGCACTTACATACGAGCAGTCTCACTTTTTTTTTCACCATTAATGGTTAGCTACTTATATTGTTCCATTTATTAACATTAAATAACATTACAGGTACTTCAAGCAACCATATTCATTTTTTTACATTAATTTTACTACAGCTAAACTCAGGGTCTTATTTTCTTCAGTTTTATATGTAGAACCAATCAGCACTGGTTTCGTAAGCTTTAACATAAACAATGCCGGCAGCCGTCTCGTCTCCTCTAATATTCCACGTATTATTAATAAATTGTATTGTTAATTTTGCACACACGTACATTAATTCAATAAAAACAAATTCAGAAACATTAATTAAAATATATATGAACAGTAAATAAGTGTTGCTTTCATATTCTTATGTAAAGTAATGATGATATGTTTTCACGTGTGCGCATGCGCACTTACATATGCGATCTCTCTTTTTTCTTTACCATTATCGTTAGCTACTTCTATTGTTCCATTTATTAACATTAAATAACATTACTTAAAACAACCATATTAATTTTACTACAGCTACAACCAAGGTCTTATTTTCTTCAGTTTTATATGTAGAACCAGTCAGTCACTGGTTTTGTAATCAACGAATACAATGCTGTGTCATTTCCTCGTGTGTTTTAATATTCTACGTATTATTAATGAATTGTATTGCTCACTTTGCACACATAAACATTAATTCAATAAAAACGACATTCAGTAATAAACAATAATGAATCTTTTGTACATAAGAGAAATGACGCTGTTTACACGATTATGCACGTCGTCTGCACGTTGGCGGGCCATTCAAACCCGTCGAAATTCAAGTTTCCGCCGTCAAAATTTTTATTTATTTATTTTTTGTGTGTTCCAATAAAATACGTTAAGAATTAAAAACTCGCAAAATTTGAGAAGCTACTATACGACATTTAACCCTTCAATATGTCTTCAAAGAGACCATGATGCAGAGAAAGTGGTGCTAGTGCTTACAGGCTTAAGCACAAGTCACTATCTATCCAGGAAAAGGGTGAATTTCCATGGTCCGGCACCGGTCAGGTCCCGAGGTTGCCGGACTAGAGAGGTACAACCTGTATTTTATCTTTTGTGCAAAATATATGAAGTTTACATTCAAAATATTCCCTGACCTGCAAGGAATCCAGAAATGTCAATTATATTTTCCTAACTTTAGTCTGAGGTATTATTTATTACTAAAAGTTAAAATCTAGTGTTTCACCAAATCATTTCTCAGAGAGGTAGGGGCCAGTGAGCTGGGAAGGAGGGGGGGGGGATTTGAGTCGATTATTTGAATGGACATTAACCCGGCGACTGTATTTCTCTTAAATATTAATTGTGTGAGCATACCATCATAAAATTTAGATGTTATTTTTACTACAACATAGGTATTGTGTCGGAAAAAGTGGAGTTTGGGGGTCGGGCCAGTCTCTATTGGAATTAATCCCATATGTTCTGTTGTTCCATTTACGCGGATTTCACTTAACGCGGTACCCTGTGGGTTCAATTGACCGCGTAAATCGGGGTACTACTGTATAGATAGGAAGGTTACATAAATAAAATAAAGAGGCAAAACCAAACATTAAAAAGTTGCTCTTGTATACAATAAATAGTGGACAGGGGAACCGATTTCTCCATTGCAGCTGGTAATCCAGCTGGAATCGTTCACATGTGAGGTGAATGCTCAGTTTAAATGCTTTGGAGCCAAAAAATAGGTACAGTGTGTGAATTAATGAATCGTATTCATTTGGAGGAATAGTTGTATGGTAGCAAAGGAAAGACAGGGTCAGAGAGACAAGTTTATTCCTTATGATAGGGATAAAGTTGTCTCTCTCACCCCGTCTTTCCTTTGCTATCATACAACCACTATGTGAATTTATTAAGGTAATCTTTGTGCATCCTCATTAACTTCATCTCATCTATATGGAGGAATCTTTTGTAAGAACTTAAAATCTCACTGCTAATACCCCAGAAAAATGAAGTAATATTTCCCCAAAAAGAATGCAACAATAAAGATGAAATCAACTCAAGATCGATGTTAATGTGATAAAAGTCTGAAAAAAATAGGACACATTTAACTGTAACTCACCTGTTGTTGGACAGATCAATCACTCCAAATATAATGAGGTTAACAAGGAGCAAAGCCCATTCAGTGATGATAGAATTAGAGTAAGAGGATGTGATCACGTCAAACAGGCCACCCACTAAGGCAAAACGGAGACTCAAAGCCTCCAACATCAACTGACGACTTCTTCCATCCTCAGGAAATGTGACTTGCAAGGCTCCAGGCTTTTCCTGATTAATGAGATCCTGATTAATCAATTAAGCCTGATCAGTTTCCCACTGATAAATAATATAAAACCAAGGAGTCAACCAAGGTAGGATATAATTATTTATACAGTATTTATAACTTATAAACAAAACATGAAAAAACAGAAAGCCTCAACTACAATTATTTTTTACAAGTGCTGTACAATATTACATAACAAAACCATGAAACACACAAAACTGATTTTCTATATTTCATGGATGCTACCTACTGATAAGGGAACAGAGATGTGACATACCTCTTTGGGTGAGAAGAGAGACTGAGTGAGTTGTGTCCTCAGAGATTCAAGCAATTCAGATAACTGATCATCCTGACCATCTAAACACATAAGCACCAGTTGCAAGAATGGCCGGTGAGATGCGAGTGGCCAATGTCCCAGTGATCTGCCTCCTGGGGGATTCTCCATTCCATTACTGCTACTCACACTACTAGGTTGACTGTGACTTGGAGGAGGGCTTGCAACGGGGCCCTCTGTTGTGGCATTCTCATCATCCACTGGTTTAGAATTTCCAGAATAGGCACCAAAATTGACAGACTCTAGTACTTGACCTGCAAGAAACAAGCTTTTATAGTCAACAAAAAGAATGACAAAGGACAAGGAATAATCAGATACTAACCTCACATTTACTTTCCTCTTTAATAAAGTCTGTATCATTCTACATTTCCACCATATCATGAAAATCAGGAGATATTGAAATACAGTAGGGTCGGGATATATCGCGACTTTATATAAAGATTTTTTTATGTTGCGGCTACCAAATTAACAAAATTGTAATATATGTAGCGATACATTTGTTCATTTCGCGAGGGAAATCAGGCAGGAAATATTTCAAATGTACCGCCATGGCAAACAAATGAGTTATTTGCTCATCAGAGGCGCCACCGTGGCTGCTCACTCACGCATTCACACTCGTCCGCTCAGTCTTTCTGAGTGAGTGACAAGAAAGCAGCCGACTCTGCTGCAGATTACGACTTTTGAGGTGAGTGTAAATGAGTTGCTAGTGACGTGAAAAGTGAAGTGAGGATAATGGAAAGCTTAATGGAAAAGATTTAAAACTATAACTAATATTTTTGGTGTTCATTTATGTAGGTGTGGGATTGTCAAGTGAGGGTGGCAGTGTGGCGTCTGCTGCCAGTCTGGTGTTCCCAGGATGGTGCGTCAGCTGCTGAGTCTGGTGTTCCTTGATATTGATATTAAAATAGCCTGTTGTTCCCGAGTCTAGTGCTCATTGGTGCTTTAGTTAGTAGGAAAATTAACTCGTTAAGTCAAGTTTAGTCACTTTTTTTGGCCTCCAGAACCTAACTCTATTTTCCCCATTGATTACATGTAATTATATATCGCGATTTAGTATATAGCAAACATCATTGGACCCTATCTCGCGATATATCTCGACCCTACTTTTAGTTTATATGTATATTTAATAAGTTTAAGTTTCTATCTATTTTATCTGTAATTGGTTTTAACACAAAAAAAAAGGCTGAAAAACTATATACTGTACAGGGCTGTGGAGTCGGAGTCGGAGGAAATTTCGGCTTGTGGAGTCGGAGTCGGAGTCGGTAAAATTGTCCAGACTCCGACTCCGACTCGCAAAGGTAAAGCGACATCGGAGTGAAAACGCAGCAGCGGTAGACATTAAAAATACGAGATTTCAGCAAGATTTCTTTGGTGCACTGATGGAAGTGGAGAAATTTGACCGGTCTTCAAAAGTGACAGTGGAAGAAGCCATACCTGCTTACCCAGAGATTGTAAAATATGTAGCTAGAGCTGTGACAGCAATGCCACCCACTCAGGTCAGTGTAGAAAGACTGTTTTCTGCACTGAAAATAATCAGATCAGATTTAAGGGCTTCCATGAAGGAAGATCTGACTGAAGCTATTCTGTTCCTAAGAACAAATATATGAACTCAGGCATATTCATTGCAGTGATTCCACTGATCCCACTAATTTTCTTAAATTATTAAAAGAATTTATTTCCATTTTATAAGCATTATTATGAATTTATTGTAGCAGGCACAGTATAGCACTATAATTTTGGACGATAGTCTCTTCTTTACCATTTGAAATTTTGAATTATATCAAATTTTGTTTCGTTGAAAACTGCACAGAGGCTCTCAGCTACAAAACAATTAGCTACAACCTGTTTTTGGTGAGATTAAGGCAAATTTAATTTAATAACTTAATCATGTAAGGTTTATCCATTTTCCTTAATAAGGTATTCATTTCTTTAATGTACATAAATATATAACTTTACTTTAAAAGGAATTGTAGGATCATCATTTAGATCCACATCAGATTATGAGCTTAAACAAAATTCATATGCTGAGATCGAACTTTTAGATATACATGTAAATGGTGTTTTCTAGTTAATATCTTGAATTCTTAATAAATTTATTTTTCTTTTGATTGAAACTTTGAAAGTCAAGCCTATCATCTTTTTGTAGTTCTTAAATATCGTCCAGATCATTAATAAAGCTGTAGCAGTATAGCCACGGTGTTTTACTTTTTACCTACGCAGGTTACAACATACAAATTACAATTAGGATGGTAGAAATAGTTGTTACAAATAGGCCAAGGAGTCGGAGTCGGAGTCGGAGTCGGAAGCATAAAAATTTGAGGAGTCGGAGTCGAAGGTTTTGTCTTCGACTCCACAGCCCTGATACTGTACAGTACAGTATAAAGTGCATAAGGCCACAATTGTCTTCTTGGCAGCAACTTCATCCTGGGTTGTTTTCTTGGAAGAAAGAATTACAAATAAAAAAATCTATCAGTAAAATTCCCCTTCAAAGGAAAGAGTTCGTAAGTGATTTAAAATATAAACTAGTTTCCCATGTGGAGGTCACTGATGAAGTCATGAATGATTTTTTATATTCTTTGAGAGGATTGTCTTGATTATAATACAGTTATTTTAATCATGAAATTTTAATAAATTATACAGTTGGATCTTGAGTATCGCGAGTTTTAGTTTTGCGGTACAATACTTAAAAAATTTCCAGCCTCTCATGATTCGCGATTTTCATTACCAGTTTCCCGAGTCTAGGAAAAGCTATCCACTTGTTAACTGCTGTCTTTGTTTGTTTACGGCAGCTAGTTTGAATGAGCGCCAGCAAGTGGCATGGTTATCTCAGATTATATAACCCATTCTGCTTACATTTTGCGAGATTCTAGCATGTTAACAATGAGTGAGGTGCTTGATGTTATTGTCAGGAGTGGTTCTGATGGTAATAGCGGCCGCAGAGAGGGTGAAGATGACGGTCACCGTGGTTAACGAGTGAGAGTACCGTAAGGGGGTCAAGAAGAGGAAATACGATAGACGATCATTTTACCATGCATGAGGGATGGTTCACTTGCATTGTTAAGCCAAAAGCATGGTCCCCCCTCCACCCCCGCCCCATCAGGAGAAAAAAGAGAGATAATGAGCTTCTAAAAAATTATATGAGGGTTGTGTATCACCACCTCTATCATTCCATTTCTGCTTGTTTAGTGGATAACTATAATACCTTTCAGACATATATATGAGCTGTGTGGTAACATGTACCCTGCTTACAAATATTTATGGCACATGATACAGTCCATAACTTATAGTATTTATAATATATACAAGCATATTGTTTTCATGCTTGTATTTTTTAAAATACCCAAATTCAGTAGCTGCATCAAGTGCCATAAAAATTTATGAATAAGCAAAGTAAATTTCTCCAAACACAGTGTGTGTGGTTGGCCAACTGATGCAAAGTTGCTACTTTTTTTTTAACTAACAGTGCATCTACCAAATACTGTATTGTAATTCGATAAAATAGTGCAATTGAAAATTAAGAACTTAATAGATGATAAAACTATATACGTGTGTCTAATATTAATTTACCAAGCCAACGTATATTAAGCAATCTATTACCATACATTAAAATGTGTGTGGTTGCGGACTGACCAGCTGACTCACACTTCGTGTGGTCGTGTGGATGACAGAAGTGTGTGGAATTTATGGTAGTCAAACTCATAAACTCGAGGTTGAATCTAGGAATTCTCAGATAGCTGAAATTGAAATTTTCTCGGAAAATCGTTCCCAAAGCCGGAATTTTCTGGAAAATTCTGAGAAAATTTTCCCGATACCTGGAAAATTCTGAGGATGGGGGAGTCTTTTTCCAGGTTTGAGAGATGAAAATAAGGCACATTTTCTGGAACTTCCGAGAACATGTTTACGGCTTTGAGAGAGTCATCACGTTACCCGAAAATCTATCATTCCCGGAAGTGCTCTGCACCAATTGTTCCAGCTAACGGAGATATAACTGTACTGTACATACAGTAAGATCTCATATTTTGTGCGATTTCATTTCACGTTTTTTAATTTCGCGAGCACTACCTAATGTAACCAAGTCTTATATTTGGCATAAAATATCGCGAGTTTTGCGAGATCCAGCCAGCTGAACGTAAGATTCGGCCAACTAAACGAAAGATTCAGCAAGCTGAATGCTGGCCACCGTCTTGAATGACGTCACAGCCCTCATACTAGTTACAGTCATTTCTGCTACAACGCTTGTTTTGTCAAGACGAATTTGTTGTAACGCGATTGATGAATAGGGGAACGCTGTTGGTAAAAAGCAAACTTTTGCATACGAATGTTGGCTATAACATGATTCCATCCTCAACGTTTTAAGCGTGGCATGGGGTTATGCAATGTTTACAGTTCACGTTCGACATCACATGTTCAATTGATTCATATCTTTTATTTGTGAAGTGTTTTTTGAGAGGTACTCTGTAAATTTTATTTAATTTTTTTGGGGGGAGAGGGGGCAAATTTAGCTGTTATCCATAAATACTGTATGAAAAGAATAAGTAAAAAGAATGTTTCGCAGTGAGGACTAATAACGGTTTACACCGGCACTCTCTGTTTACATCACGTGATCAGTTGAATTGCTCGTTTTTTGTCAATTGCTCCGTGATTTTCGCTGTTTTCTCCAATTTTGTTGTGTTAGTAATGAATATGGAAAGACAAGGTAAGAAAAATGTTTCCAAGAAGCGTTCTGGTGATCGAATTGTCGGTGGTGAACGTAAAAGAGGTTTACAAGAACGCAACTATTGCGTTGTAGCCCGCGCCATGCTAGCGATCATCCGGGCTGCTATTGTGTGCTTTTTTGGGGTGGTGCTACCACCTGTCTAGTCAAGATAATGGCCTCTACCTCTACTGGGGGTCCTACTGGTGCTGGTGGGACAGACCCACTAAGTGGCCAAATAAGGAAAAGGAGAAGCGGGACTATCATAAGGGAGTTATGTTTGCCAAGTACTCGATGCAGGATAAGCAGCGTGTGATTAAGTTACTTGAGGTAGGCCTAAAACCTAGTTTCCGGAAAACACAATCAGGTCAATAAAGGCAGAATTTGTATCATTTGGAGATTATAAATGGGAAAATCAGAGGTTGATGTAGAGTGGCCAGTCTATATTGATATTTTTTCCATTAGTTTATGTATTTGCATTTGGCAAATTTGAATTTGGCGCAATTTTTCCAGTCTATATTACTCGCGAAATACAAGATCTTACTGTACAGCAATTTTAAT